CAAAGGGAGACTCTGATGTGAAAGGGGGGGACTCTGATATGAAAAGGGGCTCTGATGTAAAGGGGGAATCTGATGTGAAAGGAGGGAACTCTGATATTAAAGGGGGCTCTGATGTAAAGGGGGCCTCTGATGTGAAAGAGGGAACTCTGATGTGAAAGAGGGAACTCTGATGTGAAAGAGGGAACTCTGATGTGAAGGGGGGCTCTGATGTAAAGGAGGACTCTGATGTGAAAGGGGGGAAACCTGATATGAAAGGGGGCTCTGATGTAAAGGGAAGACTTTGAAACATATAAATAGGGCTTCTGATGTGAAGAGGGCTCTTGATGTAAAGGGGGGCTTCTGCTGATAAAAAGGGGGACTCTGATTTGAAAGGAGGGGGCTCCTGATCTGAAAGTGGCCCCTAATGTAAAGGGGGCCCCTGATGTAAAAGGGGAGTCTGATGTAAAAGGTGAGCTTCTAATGTGAAAGGGGGCTCCTGATTTGAAGGGTGGGTCTCTTATGAGCAGCTGCTTTTTGTGTGGGGTCCTCCTTTAAAATTAATACCAGACCCCTATCTGGGATTGACCTTACAATCTTTGTACAATCAGCTTTAGATTTACCAAGTATATGTAAATGAAGGGCCTACCTAATCTATCCAATCAATTTATATGTATTTATTACAGGTATTATATAAATGACAAATTGCAAATTGCACAGCACTTAACATAGTGCACATTCACATCAGTCCCTGCCCTCAAGGAGCTTACAATATAAGACCCCTATCTCACACACATACATACATACAGGGCTGATATAAGACAGGAGCCAATTAACCTACCAGCATGTCTTTGGAGTGTGGGAGGAAACCTATATAGTTGTTAGATCTAAAATAGCTTGTACAATCAGATTGTAATATGTGTGGTGAGCTTAAGGGCCACTTTTACAATCTGATTATACAATCTTTGTACAACCAATTTAAGATTTACCAAAACCATGTAATATGAGGACCTAGCTAATCTATCCAATCAATGTGTAACTGGCCAGGCAGGCCCTTGCACTACATAGTTGTTGGTAGATCTAACGAAGATTGTACAATCAGATTGTAACATGTGGTGAGCTTAAAAGAAATGCTAAAATCGGATTGCAACATGTGTAGTGAGCTTAAAGTAGATGGTACAATCAAATAATAATGTGTGGCGATCTTGAAGGAAATGGTACAATCAGACTGTATTGTGTGGTGAATTTAAAGGGGATGGTACAATCAGATTGTAATGTGCATAGTGAGCTTAGAGGGGATGGTACAATCAGACTGTAATACGTGTGGTAAGCTTAAAGGAATTGTACAATTACATTGTAATGTGTGTGGTGAGCTTAAAGGAGATGGTACAATTAATTTGTAACATGTGGCGATCCTAAAAGAATTTGCACAACAAGTTTATAACATGTGTGGTGAGTTTTCGCTCAGCTTGACAGCTAGGGCTGGTCCATACTTTGAGATTGCATTAAAGGCATGTTATCTGTCCAGATAGTGCCTACTATCAGACATCACAAAGCACCGCACACTAGGTGTGCTGGTGCACTGTGTTGTCAGTTATTCTGAATGCCACCTTGATGCACCCTCCCAGGGGGCAGACATTCTTTGCAATGAACGGTACTGTAATAATATGCATTGTGGTGCGGTGTGGTGGAAGAATGGTGCATGCATCATTGCATCATCGGGGTGCCATTCAAAATGAATGGCAAAACAATGCAGCAGCGCATCTGCGTGGTGTGCATTGTGATGTGTGATAGTGTGCACTATCTGCACAGATACAGTATCTTTAGTGCAATGCTAAAGTGTAAACCAGCCCTTAGAAGCATAAGTCAGCATAGCCAGCTATAGTTACATAGTTAGTCAGATGGAAAAAAGACACAAGTCCATCGAGTCCAACCTATAGAGATATGAAAAAAAAAAGAAGAAAAGCCTAAACAGAACGCTATGCCCCCAATTACCCACTGTTGATCCAGAGGAAGGCAAAAAAAAACCTATCAACCATGGTCCAACAGGGGGAAAATATTCCTTCCTGATCCCATAAGGCAATCGGATATTCCCTGGATCAACAATCTCTGATGCTTCATATACCTATAAGAACTCAATATCCAGTAATATTCTGTGCATTTAGGAATACATCCAGATTTTTTTTAAACAATTAACTGAGCTAGCTAGAACTAGTTCCTGGGGGAGCCTATTCCACATTTTCACAGCTCTAACTGTGAAGAATCCTTTCTATATGCAAAGTTTAAACCTCTTTTCCTCCAGATGCAAAGAGTGCCCCCTTGTCCTTTGCAGTCACCTTAAAGTGAATAATTTGGCACCAAGCTCACTATATGGACCATGTATGTATTTATACATGGTGATCATGTCCCCCCTTAATCGCCTCTTCTCCAGAGAGAACAAATTCAGGTCAACTAATCTTTCCTCATAGTTGAGCTCCTTCATGTCTCTTATGGGTTTGGTCGCCCTTCACTGCACTTTCTCCAGTTCCACAACATCTTTTTTGTGAATTGGTGCCCAAAACTGAACTGCATATTCCAGATGAGGTCTTACTAATGCTTTGTAGAGGGGCAGGATTATGTCTCTATCTCTGGAGTCTATACCCCTCTTAAAGGAGAACTATGGGGTCAGGGCTTTTCCCCATAGTTCTCCTTAGGGTAACGGGAGGACACAAACTAGCGTCCTCCCATCACCCTAAGCTCAGTATACCGCGAGCTACAGCTCGTGGTATACTAAGACGCCGCAGCCGGAGCGGATCCCGACATCGATGTCGAGATCCGCCCAGCTGCGTGAGTGACAGCTGGCTCTGCCTATCTAGAGGCAGAGCCAGCTGTATCCGCCCCCTCCCCCGTCCGTTCCAACACTCAGCGCTGGCGGATCAGAGCAGGGAGGGGGGAATCCATCCCCTCCCCTGTCACGGCTCTCTCACGGATCGAGAGGTGAGCGAACGCCATCATGTGTTCGCTCACCTCCCGATCTACTGAGCCGACCTGTGACAGTCTCATTGTCACAGGTCGGCTAGAACTATGAGGTGAGTGAAAAGCACTCACCTCATAGTTCTCCTTTAATACAAGAAAGTATTTTGCTTGCTTTAGAATCTGCAGCTTGACATTGCAAGCTATTATTGAGTCTGTGGTCAACCAGAACACCCAGATCTTTCTCCATCATTGACTTCCCCAGACATACCAGAGTGTGTGACTCATGCATGTTATTAGTCCCCAAGTGCAAAACGTTACATTTATCAACATTAAACCTCATTTGCCAAATAGATGACCAATCATACAGTGCATTCAGATCTGCTTGTAAGTTGGAGACATCCTGTAAGGCAGGGGCGCCCACTATTTTTCGTCTGGAGATCTACTTTTCAAATGACGAGCTCATTGAGATCTACCAACGAAAAAACACCTGCATTCAGGGGCGGGAGGGGGCGTGGCGGTGCATTGAAGTCAATGGCTCCGCAGCCAGGCTCCGCAGGCAGGCCCCTCGCCCACAGTGTGATCGCCTGCATTAGTGCCTGTGTTCCAGTCGAGTAAGATCCGCAAAAATTCTGCGAGCACTATTTTTGCAGATCGCACTGGGCCGGAATGCAGGCACTAATGTGCCTGCGTTCCGAGTGCGGGCGATCGCAATGTGGGCGATGCCATTGACTTCAATACAGCTCCACACCCCCTCCCGCACCTGAACGCAGGGAGTCGGCCGGCTTACATTCCAGTGCGCCCTACATGTCCCGGCGTCCTGTCCTCCCGTGGTGCTCGTGTGGCCGACTCCGACCGGTAGATCGCGATCGACCTTGTGGGCACCCCTGCTGTAAGGACTGTATTCCAACTACATAACGTGGTGTCATCTGCAAACACAGAAATAGTACTTTTAATCTCCAACTCTATATCATTTATAAATAGGTTAAACAGTAAGGGGGCCAACACTGAACCTTGGGGGACACCACTAACAACCTCAGACCATTCAGAGTATGAATCATTGATCACCACTCTCTGAATATAGTCTTTAAGCCAGTTTTCTATCCAATTTACCTTGGATAGAAATATACCTTTCAGTCCAGGTACCCAGCTGAGCAGGTAAGTCAGTTTCATCTAACCTTCATTCCAGGTACCCAACTGATCAGATAAGTTGGTGCCATCTACCCTTCAGTCCAGGCACCCATCTGATCGGATAGGTCAGTGCCATCTACCCTTCAGTCCAGGTAACATGAGCAGGTAAGTCAGCTCCATCTATCCTTCATTCTAGCTACCCAGCTCATCATATACGTTGGTGCCATCTACCATTCAGTCCAGGTACCCAGATGATTAGATATGTTGGTGCCATCTGCCCTTCAGTTCAGGCACCCATCTGATCAGATAAAGCAGTGCCCTCTATCCTTCAGTGCAGGCACCCTTTTGACCAGATAAGTCAGTGCCCCCTACCCTTCAGTGCAGGCACCCATCTAATCAAATAGATCAGGGCCCTCTACCCTTCAGACCAGGCACCCATCTGATCACATAAGTCAGTGCCCTCTACCCTTCAGTCCAGGCACCATCTAAACGGATAAGTCATTGCCGTCTACCCTTCAGTCCAGGCACCCATCTGATCAGATAGATCAGTGCCCTCTACCCTTCAGTGCAGGCACCCATCTGATCAGATAAGTCAGTGCTCTCTACCCTTCAGTCCAGGCACCCGTCCCATCTGATAAGATAAGTCAGTGCCATCTACCCCTCAGTCCAGGCACTCATAAGTCACTCTGTCCCGTGCTGTACCGCTGCCCAGCCGTGTACAGTGTAATTGATTGCGAAGCCCTGTGAATTGCCTCTGCTGGCATTCCAAATAAGGCAATAGTGGGCGTGTCTCCAGGAGGGGGAAGTCTTGTATATAACTAGTGATCGGGATCAGAGTGCACAATCCGACAAAGTGACTATGAGACAGGCTGAGTCTTACGGGGAGATTATATACTACAGGAGAGGCAGCAAAGTGATTCAGTGATTACCATCACCACAGGACAAGAAAACCCAATGCACGGATTAGCTCAAATATGCTGGGGCTCTACAACAGCTAAAAGGATCTTGTACAAGCTACCTGGACTGGACTGCTGCATCTTTTCCTTATGAAGAAGACAAAAGTAAGTAGCTGGGAATTACTATGGCAGACACCCAGAAATGTCAAAGATCCAGGGCTTGCATGGAGTGATCTCTGCACCGCGGTCTACCACAGGAGATATAATCTGGGATGTAATATGGACATGCATTTGTGCCCCCGCTGTTTGTCCTTTGTACAGATGTATCCCGTAAGTATATCATTAGCAGATGCCTGGGTGCACAGCATGTGCTGCAACAAGCCTAGATGTCGTGGGTGACAGTAAACTCCGCTGTGTTTTATTGCCTGCATGTCAGGACAGCCAGTGCAGGGAGATGTGTGAAATACAAGGAGCACGCAGCTGTATATAGGTACCATCCTGGGGCAGAGCTGGCATAGAGCACAGGTTGGTTAGGAATTATTCCAGTCTGGGGTAGAGCTGGCATAGAGCCCAGGAAGCTTAGAATTGGTTGTGGTGCCAGCCTAGGACTGAGCTCTTATAGAACACCATGGGCTTTAGACTTGGTGCCAGCCTGGGGCAGAGCTGGCATTGAGCACTTTGGGCTTAGAAATGGTGGCAGCCTGGGGCAGAGCTGATATATTGCACTGGGGGCTTAGAATTGATTGCGGTGCTAGCCCGGGCCAGTGCTTGCATAAGCAATAGGGGCTTAGAATTGGTGCTAGCGTGGGGTAGAGCTGGCATAGAGCACTGGGGTTTAGAAATGGTGCCAGCCTGGGGCAGAGCTCATATAGAGCACTGGGGGCTTAGAATTGATTGTGGTGCTAGCCTGGGGCAAAGCTGGCATAGAGCAATGGGGGCTTAGAATTGGTGCTAGCCTGGGGTGGAGCTGGCATAGAGCACCGGAGGGTTAGAATTGGTTGTGGTTCCAGAGTAGGGCAGATCTCTTATAGAGCACCATGGGCATAGAATTGGTGCCAGCCTGGGGGAGAGCTGGCATTGAGCATTGGGGTCTTAGAATTGATTGTAGTGCTACCCTGGGGCAGAGCTGGCATAAAGCAATGGGGGTTTAGAATTGGTGCTAGCCTGAAACAGAGCTGGCATAGAGCACTGTGGGCTTAGAATTGGTGCCAGCCTGGGACAGAGCTGGTATGGAGCACTGGGGGGGTTTAAAAATAATTGTGGCGCTAGCCTGGGACAGAACTGGCATAAAGTACTGGGAGTGGGGGATTCCTGGCATAGGGCACAGTGTCCAGGGATAGAGGAAATACACGCAAGAGATTCTTTTTTCTTTTCCAAGGGAGAACTGTCTTGTTGCTAATTGCATTCTGCTATTGTGCTTTTGAGATACATGTGGCTTTCCTCCTACTGGAGATCCTTCTTGCACACGTTTTCCAGTAGGTTGTACGTTTCCCAGTGTGCAAGTAGCATTATAGCAGGGCTGGACAAATCCTTAAAAAATCACAGCTGGTACCTAACTTTTGAGGTTTACTCTAGTTGTGGAGCAGGCTCCTAAAAATCCTGCTGGCTCCTGGACTGGACAGACAGGCTCCTGAATTCCATTTTAATTTGTCCACCCCGGCTATAGCCTTTAATGATTTGGAGGAACTGTAGTGCACACTGGCCAGGTCCCATGATCAGCGTGTGCCCTGCAGGCTCCAATGCATAATACACTTTGGGATTTTAATAACGTTGCTTGAAAGTCTCAGCAACTTGCATTTGCCTTGTGGCTCCCTCTGTATCTTGTAGTAATGATGACAGTAGTTTTCTGGAATGTTAAGATAGTATGCTTTTACAGCCAGAGGTCAATCAATTATAACTTCCAGGGTGTTTTCTCTGCTACAAGAACCTTCCAGATATGACTATATTGCATTCATAAAAAGTAAAACAAAAGTCATGAGTACATGCCGGTCGTCGTGCAGGGTTGCAACAGTATGACAGTGGGTGCAGCCATGCACAGATACTGTATCTCAAGAAACCTGGCCAGACCCGAAGAGCAAATCCTTGCCCACAGATAATTTTGCTCACTGCAATTTGCAATTTGCTTGACTTGATATCTTTATGAGTTCTTTAAAACCTGTTCTGAGAGAAATACAAAAGCTGCCATAATCACCGCCCCGCTGAAAATGCTAATGGCTTGGCTTTTTCGCTTCCTCAGTTCAAACAAGTATGCTGCAGGTGAAATCAGAGCTCCTGATCTGCATACTTATTTCAACAAAGTATTGAAGCTGTTGGAACAGCACTGAGGTCAGGCAAAAGCAGGGGCCAGAAATGGCACGTACATACATCCCTCAAGTTTCATTCAAAGGCTTAGCTATAGTTATAAGACAGTACATCTGATGTAGGATCTCAGTATTGGCATTACATTTGTCACCACACTTCTAGGACATGATGCGGTGCACATGGTTAACAGTTTATGTGTCTGTGTGCAAGGCGTTCACCTGCAGTGTACATGTGCTCTGCTCCATGCATGTGTGGGCTGATTGGACATTGCAGGAAATTCCTTTTCATACATTTGAATACATAAAAGTGCATTAAAGTAAATTCACACAAATGCACATACATTTATTGTAATGCATGTGCATATTATTAAAACACATGCAACACTTAAGAAACATACTAAAGAAAAATTTTTCTTCTCCCTTAAACTTTATTCTGCAATCATTTTTGTGAGAAGGTGCATTGCAAATCTACAAATTACTTTGAATGATGAACGCATGGTTGAAGCATAATTTATGCACGTTATCCATGTCTCCTATTTGCAGTGTTAACATTATGTAAAATGGAAGGCAGTAATGGGAGTTGATACTAGTAGCTATGATGTAAGCTATCAATGCCTCCTTTTATAACGTTCACAAGGCTTGCACTGGCATTGGTTTTTTTCAGAGGCTCGTGTGTGTTTACTGTAATTTCTGTCAATATGGAAACAACACGACTGTCTGCTTATACTTTGAAACAAAGCACCATCAAGGGCACTCTCGTAGAACAGGTATTTCCTTAAATAAACAAGCATTTCACGTATCTACAACTTTCCTTTATTTTATTTACATTTTCTAGCTGATAACATTCAAACTGAGTTAGGAAATCTTTCTATTCTTCCTCCAACTTCATGAGGGAACTGCATACACTTGGAATTTATTGACCTCACAAAAGACCAGTTACAAGAGTGGGTGATTCTTATACAAGTAATAGAGCCAAATAACTTTGAAGTAAGGTACGAGTAAAGGTTTCCAATACATTTGAAACTTTGCCAGGGTTTGCCATCAAAGCTGGAATGTGGCAGAGGTGAGAGGTACAATTCACCTCCGGTCTGTAATGACCAATAACATCTCCTGCCCCACATCTGGCGAGTGACCTGTGTGAGGAACGAGTTAAACTTCATAGTCCTGCTTAGCAGAGGCCAAAGACATTATCAGTTATCAAAGTCCTACTCATATCCCTGTAAAAGATAAATTGAGTGAATTAGAAAATTGCCACGGAGAGCTTCCCTGAGAGATATAAGGTCTATCAGAGTAGGGTTTTCTCTTTGTTTGGTGGACAATAACTCCCAAAATGCTGTGCTGGTAAGTATTTTTTTTTGCAAGCATGAACAGCTTTCATTCATCTTGGAATTATAAACTTGCTTAATGATCGAGTACAACTTATGTAACATTTTCCTACACGAGGATAGCAAATACCCTGGAAACTAATTTACTGTAGCAGGAAGGAGTAGTATTACTGCCTCGGCTTGATGCATAGATTTTCTATAAATGATAACAGGCTGCCGGATTCAGTGTCTGAGAGAATTTGTACTTAATGAACAGGCCACTCCCATTTTGTTGCATCATTCTTTTTGCTGTGCTCTGTGTTATGTATACCAGTTCCACCGAAGGGATCCTTTTACCTGTTTATGGCTTATATAATGAAACAATGCAGCGAGCACTGGTATGTCACTATAGACAGTTCATCTGATGGCAGTATGATGAAAGGTTATTTCTGATTGGTTGCCTAGGGTTACTGCAACACCTTGGTTTTGCAGTGTTGTATTAAAAAATGCCAATTACTTTAAACCAGAGATTGTCAACCAGGGTTCTGTGGAAACCCGGCAGTTCCTCCTGAGGTTGCTAGGGGTTCGTTGAGCTGTGGCTGATAGACCACCTCTTTGATGGTGCTTGTATTATTCTTGGGCCAACACCACTTGGAAGAGCCAATGGCATGGCACCAATTATCTTTTTAGCTGTCTGCAAAGGTCCCATCCTGACCACTACTGTAAGGTGGGCATTCTTCCTACTGACCACCACTGTAAGGGTGCCATTCTGACCACTACTGTAGGGGAGTCATTCTTTATACTGGCCACCACTATAAGAGTGCCATTCTGACCACCATGGAAAGGGGGGCATTCTTCCTACTGGCCACCAATGTAAGGGTGCCATTCTGACCACCACTGAGAGGGGGTATTCTTTCTTCTCACCACCACTGTAAGGGTGCCATTCTGACCACCACTGAAGGGGGGCATGCTTCCTACTGGCCACCACTGTATGGCTGCCATTGTGGCCACCACTGTAAGGGTGCCATTCTTCCTACTGACCACCACTGTAAGGGTGCCATTCTGACCACCACTGTAAGGGGGGCATTCTTCCTAGTGACCACCAAAGTAAGGTGCATTTTTCCCACTGACACCGATTAATTTTTTAATAGAAGTTTCCCTAGACCTGAAAAATATTTTATGGGTTCCCCTGGGGTAAAAAGGTTGAGAAAGGCTGCTTTAGATCTGGACTGTTTAAGCACCTTGTTACATAATTGCTTTATTTTTTGTGTACATTAAATCTTTCCACAAATTGTGGAATACATGCATGTGGTAGCCTGACATACAGGTTGCTGCCATTTGTTAGGTTTGGTTGCCAAATAGCGATAATTTACCCACTGTAAACTTTGAGCACTTGATCTCCCAGAGAACCAAGGACTTTTTCCATCAGCTTGACTTTAGCTTTCTTGTAAGCATCAAACTTTAAACCCCCAGATGTGACCTTTGTTATGCATAGATACATGCTTAGCATACATTCTCTATGTAAAATGTTTAGTCTTTGTGTCAGCCTATAACCCAGGTA